AAAAAAAAAAAAAAAAAAAAAAAAAAAAAAAAAAAACAGATCTTATCACTCCTTGGCCCTCCAGAAAGTCAACAAACAAGATGCCTCGAGCTTCCCAAAAAACCATTGCCATGACATTTGCTCTTGACCAGTCTGCTTTTGAGTTGACTGAACCACTTCTGCCTCTTGTGCTTTGTCTTCAGGATCATACTGGTAAAGCCATGTTTCATCTTCTGCTACAATTCTTTTGAAGAAATCCTTCAGGATCTTGATCACACTTGTTTAAAATTCCAATTGAAAGCTCTAGTCTTACTGCAGCTGATCTATTTTATTTTTATTTTTTTGAGACACAGTCTTGCTCTGTTGCCAGGCTGGAGTAACAGAGCACCATCATGGCTCACTGCAGCCTTGGCCTCGTGGGCTTAAGCAATCTTCCCACCTCAGGCACCCAAGTAGCTGGGACTACAGGCATATGCCACCATGCCTGGCTAATTTTTTTGCAGCTAATCTGGATGTAATGGTTTTGGCACCCATCTAATGGAAAGTTTCCTCAACCTTAAATTTTCAGTCAGAACTGTGTACCTGAACCAACTGAGACATCTATGGTGTTGTCTATTGTTTCTGCTGTTAATTGTAGGTCTTCTTTCATTAGAGCACAGATAAGTTCTTTTTTTTTTTTTCTCCCAAATTGATGTAGATGGTCTTTTGCTGTGGGCTTCATCTTCAACATTGTTTCATCCCTTCTTAAAACAATTTAGTTATTTGTTAGCTGCTGATTTCTTTGGGGCATTGTGTCATAAACTTTTCACAAAACACCAGTGATTTCACCATTCTTCCACTCAAGCTTCATCATAAATGTGATGTCTCTTCTTGTTTCCATTTTGGCAGAATTCATGTTACTCTTATAGGGACTCTTTTCAAACTGATATCTTATTCTTCCTAGTGCCCCAAACTAGATCTTATTCAGATATGTTATAAGAAGTTAGTATGGGTTTATTTTGGTGCAAGAAATATTTTGAAATCCATGGATTTTTTTCATAATATGCATTTTCTGTGAACTTTTTGAAAACTCCTTGTATTAGGGATGTTAGCCCTTCATCCAAGAAATAGACTGCAAATATTTTCTCACAGCTTGTCATTTGCCTTTTGGTATTTTTTTGCAATGCAATTTTTTCGCCTTTGTTTTTGTGTAATGAAATAAATCAATTTTTTTTTTTTTTTGAGACCGAGTCTTAGTCTGTCACCCAGGCTGGAGGGCAATGGCGCCATCTCAGCTCACTGCAACCTCTGTTTCCCAGGTTCAAGTGATTCTCATGTCTCAACTTCTTGAGTAGCTGAGATTACAGGTGCATGCCACCATGCCTGGCTAATTTTTGTATTTTATTAGAGACAATGTTTCACCATGTTGGCCAGGCTGGCCTCAAACTCCTGACCTCAAGTGATCCACCCACCTTGGCCTCCCAAAATGCTGGGATTACAGGCATGAGCCACGGCACCAGGCCGAATCAATGTTTTCTTATATTGCATTTAGGTTTTGGGTAATAGTTAGAAACCTTTCCCCACACCTAGGTTATAGAAACATTCATCACTGTTTTATTCCAGTGCTAGTACTTGCATGGTCTTTGGTTTCCACATTTAGATCCCTGATCTAATTGGAGTTTATTTTTGTATGTGCTGAGATACGGATCTAATTGTATCTTTTTTCCCAAATGACTATCCAGTTGTTCCAATGCCATTTATTAAGAACTACATCTTTGTCTCAGTGATTTGAGATAGAATCTTTATCATGTATGAAACTTCTATAGTGCCAGAAGATTTTTATTTTTTTTCAGACAGGGTCTGGCTTTGTTGCCCAGGCTGGAGTGGCACAATCTCAGCTCACTGCAACCTCTGCCTCACAGGCTCAAGTGCCCCCACCTTAGCCTCTTGAGTAGCTAGGACTGTAGGCACATGCCACGATGCCAGGCTGATTTTTATATTTTTTGTAGAGATGAGGTTTCACCATGTTGCCCAGGCTGGTTTCAAACTCCTGAGCTCAAGCAATCAGCCCACCTCAGCCTCCCAAAGTGCTGGGATTACATCCGTGAGCCACCACACCTGGCTGCCAGAAAATTTTAATGATCAGAATTCTTTCTTCCTCTGTTATATGTTGAAGTGAATTACTTCATTTAGAAAAAAATAGGCCAGGCACAATAGCTCATGCTTGTAATCCTAGCACTTTGGGAGGCTGAGTCGGATGGATCACCTGAGGTTAGAAGTTTGAGACCAGCCTGGCCAACATGGTGAAACCCTATCACTACTAAAAACAAAAAAATTGCTGGGTGTGGTGGCAGGCGCCTATAATCCCAGCTACTTGGGAGGCTGAGATAGGAGAATTACTTAAACCTGGGAGGCAAAGGTTGTGGTGAGCCGAGATGATGCCATTGCACTCCAGGCTGGGCAAGAAGAGGGAAACTCCATCTCATAAATAAATAAATAAATAAATAAATAGCCATACAAGGCTACCCATTTGGTGAGAACTAACAAGTTAGATAGCAATGTAATAGCAAAATATGGGGGGAAAATTGAACACATTATTTCTGAGGAGAATGTAGGTCTTATGGAAGTTTTTCATGTGGACAAATTTAGTAAATTTTTTACAGGTAGTTTCCCGACATGTTTAACCTTTGTGATATAATAAACAGTAAGAAAGTACTAATGTGATCTAAGACTAGAAGAGAATAGCACTAAAATGAGAGATGGGGTAAACTTTTTTTTTTCCCCTTAAGCTTTTGACCTCCAAAATTATTGTTTTTGCTGGGCGCAGTGACTCACTCCTGTAATCCCAGCTCCTTGGGAGGCCAAGATGGGAGGATTACCTGAGCCTGGGAGTTTGAGACAATTCTGGGCAACAAAGCAAGACCCTTTCTCTACAAAAATTTAAAAATTAGCCAGAAATGGTGGCACATGTCTGTAGTCCTAGCTACTTGGGAGGCTGAGGCAGGAGGATTGCTTGAGCCTTTTGAAGTTGAGGCTTCAGTGAGCCATGATCACCCCACTGCACTCCAACCTGGACAACAGAGAAAGACCCTGTCTCAAAAAATAAAACAAAACAGGCACGGTGGCTCACGCCTGTAATCCCAGCACACTGGGAGGCTGAGGCAGGCAGATCATGAGGTCAAGAGATCGAGACCATCCTGGCCAACATGGTGAAACCTCTTCTCTACTAAAAATACAAAAATTAGCTGGGCGTAGTGGCACCCACCTGTAATAATACTAGGAAGCCTGAAGCAGGAGAATCGCTTGAACCCAGGAGGCAGAGGTTGCAGTGAGCCAAGATGTGGCCACTGCATTCCCGCTTGGTGACAGAGTGAGACTCCGTCTCAAAAATAAATAAATAAAGGGGTGGCGGGAAGTGCACTAGGTTTGAAATCGGAAAGTTGGTGGGGCTGCGGGAGCTGAGTCTGAAGCCCAGCTGTTGGCTACCGTGGGCGCAGATCTGCTGTGGGGAAGGCGAGGGGACTCAGGCCTGCCTGCAAAGCATTGTCTTACATGATGGTAGAGGACGAACTGGCACTATTCGATAAAAGCCTAAATGAAATTTGGAATAAATTCAAAAGTACTGACACCTCCTTTCAGATGGCGGGACTAAGAGATACCTACAAGGACTCCCTCAAAGCATTTGCAGAAAAACCGTCTGTGAAATTAAAGGAAGAAGATAGAATGGTTGAGATGTTTCTGGAATATCAAAATCAGATTAGCAGGCAAAATAAGCTCACTCAAGAAAAAAAAGAATAACTTGTTAAAATTGATTGCTGAAGTAAAAGACAAAAAGCAAGAATTGGAAGTACTGACTACAAATATCCAGGATCTTAAGGAAGAATATTCTAGGAAGAAGGAAACTATTTCTACTGCTAATAAAGCGAATGCAGAGAGGTTGAAAAGGCTGCAGAAATCTGCAGACTTGTATAAAGATCGACTTGGACTAGAAATTCGAAAAATTTATGGTGAGAAATTGCAGTTTATATTCACTAATATTGACCCTAAGAATCCTGAGAGCCCATTTATGTTTTCCCTGCATCTAAATGAAGCAAGGGACTATGAAGTGTCAGATAGTGCCCCTCATCTTGAGTGCCTAGCAGAATTTCAAGAGAATGTAAGGAAGACCAACAATTTTTCAGCTTTTCTTGCCAATGTTCAGAAAGATTTTACTGCCACGGTTTATAATTAATGTACAAATAGTATATATTAAAACAGTTTACTTTTCTTCTCTGTTGTGTATCTCTTTTTAAAAGAATTCTCATTATCTGTTGTCTGCCTGTAATTCTTTGGTATTTCTGTAACATTTTGTGTGGTTTACGTCTTTCAATCACAGTAGTCCATCCTTATCTACAGTTTTGCTTTCCACGCTCAGTTACTCATGGTTTCAGTTACCCCAGTCAACTGTGGTCTAAAAATATTAAATGGGTAGAGTGCAGTACAAGATATTTTGAGAGAGAGAAAAAAGTATTTCATATATATAACTTTTATTACAGCATGTTTTTATAATTGTTCTATTTTATTATTAGTTATTGTGGTTAATCTCTTTCTGTGCCTAATTCATAAATTAAGCTTTATCATAGATATTTGTATGTGGGGGAAAAACAGTCTATATAGGATTCGACACTATCTGAGGTTTCAGACATCTACTAAGGGTCTTGGAACATGCCCCACAGATAAGGGAGAACCACCGAACTTTAATTAAAATCTTAGGGAAAAGTATAAAGTAAAATGTGTTCTTCTAAAAATGAAAGATAATTAATTCACTACTTTTCTTTAAATGTCAAGCATGGTAATTTATGGCTAGTCCTGGGAGTGGAAATATGTTCAACTGGCACTGTGTCTCAGTGGTCTCCAAGCTTTTAGACCACTTAATATTAATATGGACTCTTAATATTAAAAAATTAAAAGGACTGACCCAGAAACATAAATAAATAAATAAATATAAATAAAAGTAAAAAAATAGAGCCAGGCACAGTGGCTCACACCTGTAATCCCAGAACTTTGGGAGGCTGAGGCCGGTGGATCGCCAGAGGTCATGAGTTCAAGACCAGCCTGACCAACATGGAGAAACCCCGTCTCTATTAAAAATACAAAATTAGCTGGGTGTGCTGCCATGCCTGTAATCCCAGCTACTCTGAGGCTGAGGCAGGAGAATCCCTTAAACCTGGGAGGCAAAGGTTGCGGTGAGCCAAGATCACACCATTGCACTCCAGCCTGGGCAACAAGAGCGAAACTCTATCTCAGAAATAAATAAGTAACTAAATAAGTTCCAAAATATTTTGATGGCATAATTTCTTCTTGTTCTAACAAAACTACATATGCATTTGTCCTATGACCCAGCAATCACATTTTTAGGAATTTATCATAAATATACAACTGAAAAATTACAAAAATACATATATACGAGGTTATTTGTTACAGCATTATTTGTAATTGCAAAAATATTGTAGATAGAATAGAGGTCATATAAAACTTATTCTTAAGATTCAGAGTGAGGATGGTGGCTTATGCCTGTAATCCCAGCACTTTGGAGACTGAGGCAGGTAGGTCACCTGAGATCAGGAGTTCGAGACCAGCCTGGCCAGCATGGTGAAAACCCGTCTCTACCAAAAATACAAAAATTAACTGGACATGATGGCATACCTGTAATCCCAGCTACTTGGGAGGCGGAGGCAACAAGAACTACTTGAACCCTGGAGGCAGAGGCTGTAGTGATGCGAGATCATGCCACTACACTCCAGCCTGGGCAACAGACTGTCTCAAAAACAAATAAACAAAAAAAAAAAGCAAACAACAAAAAAAGATTCACAGATCATCTTATCAAATCAAAGTATGCAAAATATTCATGTAAACTTCAGATAAATATGAAGGCTAAACCATTCAGCTTCTTCACCAAATCCTTGAATGTCCCACTTGACTAAATTGAAACATGTTTGTTTGATTTATTGGCTAACTGTTTTTATTCCATTTTTCCTCAAAAGATCCCATAATTTGACCTTAGGATGCTGTTCAAATAAACAAATTAGATTGAATGAAAAGACTGCTAGATGATTTTAGGATTTTATATATTTTTTCCTTATGTGCAATAATTTAATAGCATCTTGAATAGGATTTTCTGATATTACTAACCCTCTGGGAATAATATTTGGTAATTAGACAGTTAGCTAATATTAAAATATATATTAGGTAATATTTATTGAGAGTTTCCTCTGTGCAAAGCAAGGTCAGCTTCATGGGCATGTGACCTGTGCAGTGATACGGGGCTTCATGCTTAGATGGGATGCCTTGCTTCGAAGGTCCCTACCCTTTGGTTAGGGCTCTGCTGTTACCATCTTGAAATTTTTAATAATTTTTTTTTTTGAGTCAGGGTCTTGCTGTGTCACCCAGGCTGGAGTGCAGTGGACTCGCTACAGCCTTGAACTCCTGGGCTCAAGTGATCCTCCCACTTCAGCCTTCTGAGTAGTTAGGACAACAAACACACGCCATCATGCTCAGATAAGTTTTTTGTTTGTTTTTGTTTTTGTAGAGATGGGGCTCTCACTGTGTTGCTGAGGCTGCTCTCAAATTCCTGGCCTCAAGTGATTCTCCCGCCTCAGCTTCCCAAAGTGCTGGGACTACAGGCATGAGCCATCATGCCTGCTCAATTATTTTTAATAAGAAGCCCAAGCCCCCTTCTTTCTTCCTTCCTTCCTTCCTTCCTTCCCTCCCTCACTCACTCACTCACTCACTCACTCACTCTCTCTCCCTTTCTCTTTCTTTCTTTCTTTTTTTTCTGTGTCCCTCTGTTGGCCAGGCTGGAGTACAGTGGTGTGATCTTGGCTCACTGCAACCTCTGCCTCCTGGATTCAAGTGATTCTCCTGCCTCAACCTCCATAGTAGCTAGGATTACAGGTGCCCAACAACAGGCCCGGCTAATTTTTTGTATTTTTAGTAGAGACAGCGTTTTGTCATGTTGTCCAGGCTGCTCTCAAACTCCTGATCTTATGTGATCTGCCCATCTTGGTCTCCGAAAGTGCTGGGATTACAGGTGTGACCCACCACGCCCCGCCTCCAAGCCCCCTATTTTTATTTTGCACTCATTTTAAAAGTTATGTAGCTAGTTCTAGTTATGTTTTTAGCAAGGAAGGTGTATAATCTCATGTTCATTTTCAAAAGATTACTCAGGTCTCTGCATGTGAAATGGAATTTAGGGAATGCAAAAGTGGGAGTAAGAATAACACCAAGGAAACTATGACAGCATTTAAGGTGGCTTTGACTCAGGGGTGGCAATAGATATGGTTAGTAATTGATAGTTTCAAAACATATTTTGGGAGTAGTAAGCATTGATATGGATTCATAATTTACTGGATGCGGGGATGCAGAAAAAAATATTAAAAATTACTTCTGAAATTCTGGCTGGAATAGAAGTGCCACTTACCAGGTGAGGAAGGTTAGAGACCTAACACATCTGAGGGTGTGGTTAAAAGCTGAGTCTGACATTATGCTATGTCATATAAAAGACATATAAAAGACTACCTATTTTACAATTCCTTTTTAATAAAATATCTGGAAAAAGCAAAACTATGGTTTCCTGAGGCTGAAGGTAGGAAGATTGACTACAGACAGGCATGAGGGAAATTTTGGGGGTCATGAGCATATTCCAAAACTGGATTGTGGGATTGGTTGCGTTACTGTATAAATTTATTAAAAATTCCTGCATTGTATGGGGCACTATATTGTATGTAGAAAACTGTTAAAAGATTTTTTTTTTTTTTTTTTGAGACGGAGTTTCACTCATGTTACCCAGGCTGGAGTGCAATGGCGTGATCTCAGCTCACCGCAACCTCCGCCTCCTGGGTTCAGGCAATTCTCCTGCCTCAGCCTCCTGAGTAGCTGGGATTACAGGCACGCACCACCATGCCCAGCTGATTTTTTGTATTTTTAGTAGAGACGGGGTTTCACCATGTTGACCAGGATGGTCTCGATCTCTTGACCTCGTGATCCACCCGCCTCGGCCTCCCAAAGTGCTGGGATTACAGGCTTGAGCCACCGCGCCCGGCAAAAGATTTTTTAAATGATTGACATGTCTGTGGTTATATCAATGAGTCCCATGAAGCTAAAAATAAAAGTTTCTTGGTTACATAGCTACTAGGTGTAATATCCAATATTGGAATTTGAATCTTTTTGACACTAAGACCTTACTTCGATCATATAATATGTCCATTTTCTATTTTAAAATTATATTATAAATGCTGCATCCCATTGATCAGAAGCTCTCTTGAAATTATAAAACAGAGAAGAAAAAAAATAAAGACTGGGAAATTGTGTTGAATCAGTATATAATTCCTGTATACTGGTCCTTCCACTTCCTCTAGAAATAAGTGATACAACAAGTTATGGCATCTTTGTTTATTATCCACTGTGAGTTGTATTACCACACTTTACTTGGCTCTTTGGCAAACTATATTATCTCTTCAGATCATTAGGGCTAGGAAATAGTTTCATTAGGCCCACTGGTAACTTGAAGGAGTAAATGTATCTTCCAAAAATGCTTACTTCCAGGAAGATTGGGTCCACACAAATGAATACATATATAGTCCTTAGTGTATGCTATGATTATTACACTATGCCATTAGCTTAAAGATTGTTATGTTAATAAGCGTTAAGTGCCTCCTGTACTAGACTATGGGGATACAAGCGGCCACCAAAATAGCATGGTCCCTGCCCCCCTGGAGCTTCTTTTTTTCTTTTTCAGTGGGAGAAGCAGACATTTTGCTTAAGCAAAAATGATTATAAAATTTAAAGTTGTGCCAAGTTCAATGGACAGGAAAGATTTGTAGAAATTAGCAAAGCAAAGGGAGGGAGGAGAAAGCAGCTTTCCTGGCAAAAGAACAGCCTGTGTGAAGGCCCTGAGGCAGGGAAGAGCTGGGGTTCTGACCACAATCAAAGCAGTGAAATGGAGTATAGTGAGAGAGACAGAGAAGACAGGAGAACTTGGACACCTTGCAAAGGATTTGGTATTTTAATTCAGGAGCAATACGATGCTACTAAGGAGTAGCTGGAGAATTGTGTGAGCCAATTAAAATTCTAGGAAGATCAACATCATTATTGTGGAGAATGGATACACAAGGGTTCTGTTGGTTCGTGAAGAGGTCTTAAGAAAACTATGATCTCGGTGCAGTGGCTTATGCCTGTAGTCCTAGCTACTCGGAAGTCTGAGGTAGGAGGATCCCTTGAGCCCGAGGAGTTGGAGGTTGCAGCGAGCTATGATTGTTCCACTGTACTCTAGCTTGGACGACAGAGTGAAATCCTGTCTCAGAAGCAAAAACCAAAAAACAAGCAACAACAAAAGCCTCAGAAAACTACAGATCTTATTATCAAGAAAATGACAGGCCTTATTATTGAGAGAACTGCTTACACTTTTAAAAGCTGATTTTCAAAAAACAGATCGTAAATTAAGTGATGCTGAATGGCGTAAAAAAAGATTGATAAACTAGTGTATCTCTGAATAACCCACTAGATCAGTGCTTGTCAAATTTTACTGTGTTTTCAGATCACCCTGGTGTTTTGTTAAAATGTAAATCCTGGCTCAGTAGGTCTGAAGGAGAGCATTTCTGCATTTCTAACAAGCTCCCCAGCCGATGCCTAGACCACTGGTCCTCACACTTTGAGTAGCAAGTGACTGGGCTATACTCTATATTCTAAATTCTGAATGTGTTCTATCTTCTGATGCCTATCAGCCCTCTTGGTGGTCTGGCTAATTACCAAACTTGAGCATTTAAACCTGGGAGTTTTCAGAGATGAATTGAAGTGTTAAAGATGTGGAAATATAGGTCACATATGGCTTTTCATCTCTTCGAGAAATATCCTATATATCCTTACTTCTTATCTATCTACCTAACCTATGTGCCTACCTCTCCACCTATGTTCAAGGTTCTGTTATACTTCAAAAGGACTCTATGCAATCAAAGTGATGTCCAAAACAAGTCTACAGAGATACTATGAGGCTCTAACACTTTACATCTAATGGGGTGGTTTGCATCATTAATTGAGGCTTACTCTGTGCCAAGCTCTTTACCTGACTTCTTCATTTAATAGAATAGGAATCCAGGAACCTTTAGAGGCTAGTTTCTTGTTCAAGGATATACATCTCAACTCTGGCTTATATCACACTGGACTCTTATTCACTATCCTAATCACTGCAGTTTTGTTTGGTGACTACAGTTCTAAATCCAGAAAACTCAAGGCTCTTTATTCTGTGGCTAAAGGCTTTGTATTTCTCTAAAGATTTGTGAAGCGTTGCTGCCATTATTTCAATAATTTTATAAAAATCCTAGGTGGTAAATAGGTCTGGCTTTTTTTCTTTTAAAAATCTTCTCTGTCTTCTTCTTCATTAGCAGTGCAACTTCTTGTGGCTTATAGTACCCAAGATCTTGGGAAAAGGATTGATCAAGTAAAGGGAAACAACAGATTATGCTCTGTGATTGAGATCATGCTTCTTGTGAAAGACAGGGTAGGGAAATTTTTAACTTCTCCCTGGTTCCTAAAAAATGAGAGCTAACAATGACATCCAGTTTTAAAAGAAATAAAATCTGAGTCGTACTTTTAAATTCTGTAAGACAGAGTTAAACCAATAGATAGTAACTCCTGCTAATTTGATAGTAGCTCCAGAGAGTGAGGGAATGACAGGGAATGCTAGTTTCATTTGGTAAGAGATAAAACTGAAATTATTAATGTCTCCAAGGAAATGCTAAATGCCTCCTTACAAATATGGTCCAGCTAATTGTTGGTCTTCCAACAAACCAGATTTGTTGATGTTTTCCCAGACAACGTTGTGTCGTTTTCGGTTTCGTTCGATCCCCCTTCCTGTGATCAAAGAAAGCGATTCAAGTGTTTAATGTGTCTTGATTTGGACTGGCGACTTGCAGAACGGCTAGCCTCATTGCCCCGCGTCTGCCTTTCCCTAAGGTAGGTTTCCTGTGCACAGATACTGGCAAGGCGCTTTGACTGGAAACTCTGGAAAGAAGCCAAAGGAAAGTGAAGTTCCTGGCGCTAGCGCGTGTCCTGCTCAGAGAGCCCGGCGCTAGCTCATTCTTCGTGCAGTTATTGGCTGGGACTCTGTGTGCCGCTGTCGGCCAATGAAGACGCTGGAGATCGAGCCCCGGCCCGTCCCCTTTCTGCGCCCCGGGATGAGGCAGAGACTGAACAGCCGGCGAGCAAATCAACGGCATCCAGAAAGCCATGTCGGACTCGGCGCCCAGCGCCCAAGCGCTAACCCGCTGAAAGTTTCTCAGCGAAATCGCAGGGACGATCTGGACCCCGCTGAGAGGAACTGCTTTTGAGTGAGATGGTCCCAGAGGCCTGGAGAAGAGGACTGGTAAGCACCGGGAGGGTAGTGGGAGTTTTGCTTCTTCTTAGTGCCTTGAACAAGGCTTCCACCGTCATTCACTATGAGATCCTGGAGGAAAGAGAGAAGGGTTTCGCTGTGGGCAATGTGGTCGCGAACCTTGGTTTGGATCTCGGTAGCCTGTCAGCCCGCAGGCTCCGGGTGGTGTCTGGAGCTAGCCGAAAATTCTTTGAGGTGAACCGGGAGACCGGAGAGATGTTCGTGAACGACCGTCTGGATCGAGAGGAGCTGTGTGGGACACTGCCCTCTTGCACTGTAACTCTGGAGTTGGTAGTGGAGAACCCGCTGGAGCTGTTCAGCGTGGAAGTGGTGATCCAGGACATCAACGACAACAATCCTGCTTTCCCTACCCGGGAAATGAAATTGGAGATTAGCGAGGCCATGGCGCCCGGGACGCGCTTTCCGCTCGAGAGCGCGCACGATCCCGATGTGGGAAGCAACTCTTTACAAACCTATGAGCTGAGCCGAAACGAATACTTTGCGCTTCGCGTGCAGATGCGGGAGGACAGCACCAAGTACGCGGAGCTGGTGCTGGAGCGCGCCCTGGACCGAGAACGAGAGCCTAGTCTCCAGTTAGTACTGACCGCGTTGGACGGTGGAACCCCGGCTCTCTCTGCCAGCCTGCCTATCCACATCACGGTGCTGGACGCGAATGACAATGCGCCTGTCTTCAACCAGTCCTTGTACCGGGCGCGCGTCCTGGAGGATGCACCCCCGGGCACGCGCGTGGTGCAAGTCCTTGCAACGGATCTGGATGAAGGCCCCAACGGTGAAATTATTTACTCCTTCGGCAGCCACAACCGCGCCGGCGTGCGGGAACTATTCGCCTTAGACCTTGTAACCGGAGTGCTGACAATCAAGGGTCGACTGGACTTCGAGGACACCAAACTCCATGAGATTTACATCCAGGCCAAAGACAAGGGCACCAATCCCGAAGGAGCACATTGCAAAGTGTTGGTGGAAGTTGTGGATGTGAATGACAATGCCCCGGAGATCACAGTCACCTCCGTGTATAGCCCAGTACCCGAGGATGCCCCTCTGGGAACTGTCATCGCTTTGCTCAGTGTGACTGACCTTGATGCCGGCGAGAACGGGCTGGTGACCTGCGAAGTTCCACCAGGTTTACCTTTCAGCCTTACTTCTTCCCTCAAGAATTACTTCACTTTGAAAACCAGTGCAGACCTGGATCGGGAGACTGTGCCAGAATACAATCTCAGCATCACCGCCCGAGATGCGGGAACTCCTTCCCTCTCAGCCCTTACAATAGTGCGTGTTCAAGTGTCCGACATCAATGACAACCCTCCACAATCTTCTCAATCTTCCTACGACGTTTACATTGAAGAAAACAACCTCCCAGGGGCTCCAATACTAAACCTTAGTGTCTGGGACCCCGACGCCCCGCAGAATGCTCGGCTTTCTTTCTTTCTCTTGGAGCAAGGAGCTGAAACCGGGCTAGTGGGTCGCTATTTCACAATAAATCGTGACAATGGCATAGTATCATCCTTAGTGCCCCTAGACTACGAGGATCGACGGGAATTTGAATTAACAGCTCATATCAGCGATGGGGGCACCCCGGTCCTGGCCACCAACATCAGCGTGAACATATTTGTCACTGATCGCAATGACAATGCCCCCCAGGTCCTATATCCTCGGCCAGGTGGGAGCTCGGTGGAGATGCTGCCTCGAGGTACCGCAGCAGGCCACCTAGTGTCACGGGTGGTAGGCTGGGACGCGGATGCAGGACACAACGCCTGGCTCTCCTACAGTCTCTTGGGAGCCCCTAACCAGAGCCTTTTTGCCATAGGGCTCCACACTGGTCAAATCAGCACTGCCCGTCCAGTCCAGGACACAGATTCACCCAGGCAGACTCTCACGGTCTTGATTAAAGACAATGGGGAGCCTTCGCTGTCCACCACTGCTACCCTCACTGTGTCAGTAACCGAGGACTCTCCTGAGGCCCGAGCCGAGTTCCCCTCTGGCTCCGCCCCCCGGGAGCAGAACAAAAATCTCACCTTTTATCTACTTCTTTCTCTAATCCTGGTTTCTGTGGGGTTCGTGGTCACAGCGTTCGGAGTAATCATATTCAAAGTTTACAAGTGGAAGCAGTCTAGAGACCTATACCGAGCCCCGGTGAGCTCACTGTACCGAACACCAGGGCCCTCCTTGCACGCGGACGCCGTGCGAGGAGGACTGATGTCGCCACAACTTTACCATCAGGTGTATCTCACCACGGACTCTCGCCGCAGCGACCCGCTGCTGAAGAAACCTGGTGCAGCCAGCCCACTGGCCAGCCGCCAGAACACGCTGCGGAGCTGCGATCCTGTGTTCTACAGGCAGGTGTTGGGTGCAGAGAGCGCCCCTCCCGGACAGGTAAGGATTAGCAAGCCATGCTTGACCCTGTTAGTGCCTTTTGATTTCTACATCATATTGAGGAAGGAATGGAGCTGTTTTTTAGTGATGAAGATGTTTTCCTGATTATGCATTCACAGTTTCACCTGACCTTTCCTAGATCAAATTTAATGCCTTTGTGAAATGGTGGCCTGCATTTCAGGGGGAGATACTTGACTCATCTGTGGACCCAATTCATATCCTCAGCTCTCATTTGCTATCACAGCTGACCAATCTTGCTAAGGGGTGGTTCAGCCAAAACACAAGATCTCAGCGATCAGAGTTTGCCTTGGTATAGTTTACATTAGGAATAAGTTTCTGGATACCTCTAACCAGTGGCAGCTTCTAGGAATACAAAAACTACGTCATTCCCCCACCTTGCAAGTGATTGTGATGTTTGTATTAAAACTAACAGTTTTTTAATAATTTTCCTTTGTTTACAAAGATCCTGTATCTCATTCTTAGATAATTTTCTATGAACAAAATGAAATTATGGGCATCCTTTAAATTTTATTTCAAGTACTCTACTGGAAATAATGTGCACCCTACTTACAAATTACCTTGTAACAGTGATGCATGTTTGCTGGAAAATACAGAAAAGTATTTTAAAAATTTAAACTATAATCTCCAAACCCAAAGATAACCACTTTTAATTATAAAAGTAATAATTTGTTTTGAAAATAAATCTAGATGACACACACACAAAAAGCACAAAGTAGCCAGACTCAGTGGTGTACACCTGTAGTTCCGGCTACTCAGTGGCTGAGGTGGGAGGACTGCTTGAGCCCAGGAGTTCTGGGCTGCGGTGCACTATGCTGATCTATTGATCAGTCCACTGTCTGCACTAAGTTCAGCATGAATACAGTGACCTCTTGGGAAGGCAGGGCCATCAGGTGGCTTAAGAGGGGATGAACTGGCCTGGGTTGGAAATGGAGAAGATCAAAACTGCTGTGCTATCCAGTAGTGGGATCACACCTGTGAATAGCCACTGCACTCTAGCCTAGGCAATATCGGGAAACCCTGTCTCTTTAACAATAACAACAACAAAAAACCCAGAAACTACAAAAGGAGAGTCTTTTTGGTGCCTCCAGTGTCAGTCCCTGTCCTTCCAGCCTTGTTTTTCTTAAGTGTATGTACAATGTGAAAGGTAGAGAAATTCATATCCTTAGAAAGGTAAAGCATTCATTTAGGGTGGTATGCAAGGATACCGTCCAAGGCATGGTATCCATGCAAGGTGACTGCAAGGCATTTGCCCTGGAGAGAACCCTATACATACTCTCACCTGTAGGAGAACTGCTGTTATTCTATTACTCAGTGCATCATTGCTATCAACTCTTGGATTTGGCAGTTAGATAAATGAGGTTCTACCATTTACCAACTATACTATGAATTTGTGGCCAAGTTACTCAATCTCCTTTCTAAGCCTCCTCCAAAAATGCAAAAGGGAATAATAAGTGTTCTTTAAGATTCATGCATGGTATAATGTGTGCAAAGTGCTTAGCACAATGCCTGGCATATCATAACTGTTAAAAAGTTATTAGCCAGCTCCCAGCATTTTGGAAGGCTGAGGTGGGAGGGTTGCTTGAGGCCAGGAGTTCAAGACCGGCCTGGGCAACATAATGAGACCCTGTCTCTACCAAAAAAAAAAAAAAAAATTGGGAGCTGGGCACGGTGACTCACTCCTGTAATCCCAGAACTTTGGAAGGCTGCAGCAGGTGGATCACAAGGTCAGGAGTTCGAGACGAGCCTAACCAACATGGTGAAACCCTGTCTATACTAAAAATACAAAAATTAGCCAGGCATGGTGGCATGTGCCTGTAATCTCATCTACTCAGGAGGCGAAGGCAGGAGAATCACTTGAACCCAGGAAGCAGAGGTTGTAGTAAGCCAAGATCACGCCACTGCACTCCAGCCTGGGTGACAGAGACCCTGTCTCAAAAAAAAACTTTTTTTTCATTAGCTGGGCATGTTGGCATGCACCTGTGGTACCAGCTGCTTGGGAGGCTGCAGTGAGAGAATTGCTTGAGGCTGGGAGGTTGAAGCTACAGTCAGCTGTGATTGTACCACTGCTCTTCAACCATGGCAATAGAGTGAGAGCCTGTCTAAAAAAAAAATTATTAGCTATTACTATTATTATTTTTATTAGTTCTTCACCACCTAAAATCTTAAACACACCTTGGAAATAAGCATATGAGAACAACCAAAAATGTCAAAATAGAAGCACATATGAAAAGGCTAAAAAAGGATGAAAGCCAGCAAGAAACAGCTGCTGCTCTTTTGGTCAGCTTTGACAGCAACTGGCCTTTATCCTAGAACAATGTTCTCAAACTTAGTTGCACATTAAAATCACCTAGTGACCTTTTAAAAATTCTGAAAGCCCAGGCTACCCCCCAACCAATTAAAGCACAATCTCTTGGGGTGGGACACAGGCATCATAATTTTTGAAGGCCCCCACTTGATCCTAATGTGCAGACAAATTTGAAAACCACTACTCTAGAACCTGCCAATCCATCATTTAGCATATTTGTGAAGCAAAGTGTTATTCTGGTATTCGTAGAACCAGGATCCAAATTTATTGGACGAGGCCCAATTTTTTAAAAAACTTGGTAAGATCTCCCAGCCTTAAAGTATTACATAGAATAGTTCTAAAAAATACATAAAATGGTATTTCAGTCATCTAAAGAGAAAAACCTTCCTAAACCGCTAGCACCTGGGCAACTATTCTTTAAACATCTACAGCTGTTCAATAGGTGTTTCGTTCTTTTTGGAGGGATGTGACAAAATTGTTGTATAATTAAATTGTGGTTTGATATACTTAAATATACTGAAAACCATTGGATTGTATACTTTAAATATGTGAATTGCATGGTATGTGAATTCTGTCTCAATAAAAATCTAGAGATGGGCCTGGGCGCACTCGCTCATGCCTGTAATCTCAGCACTTTGGGAGGCCAAGGCGGGTGGATCACTTGAGGTTAGGAGTTCAAGAGCCGCCTGGCCAGCATGGCGAAACCCCATCTCTACTAAAAATACAAAAGTTGGCCAGGCACAGTAATCCCAGTAATCCACACCTGTAATCCCAGCACTTTGGGAGGCCGAGGTGGGTGGATCACCTGAGGTCAGGAGTTCAAGACCAGCCTGACCAACATGGAGAAACCCCATCTCTTCTAAAAATATAAAAAATTAGCTGGGTGTGGTGGCCCATGCCTATAATCCCAGCTACATGGAAGGCTGAGGCAGGAGAATCACTTGAACCTGGGAGGTGGAGATTGTGGTGAGCCAAGATCACACCGTTGTACTCCAGTCTCGGCAATAAGAACGAAACTCCGTCTAAAAAAAATAATAATAATACAAAAGTTAGCCAGGTATGGTGGTGGGTGCCTATAATTCCAGGTACTTGGGAGGCTGAGGCAGGAGAATCGCTTGAACCTGGGAGGTGGATGTTGCCATGAGCCAAGATCATGCCATGCATTCCAGCCTGGGCAACAAGAGCAAAACTCACTCTATCACAAACAAACAAAAATAATAAGGTAAAATAAAATAAATATTTTTAAAAATCTAGAGAGGGGAGAATCATATGGCTGGCATAAAAAGGTCAAGTCAAAGATATGTAGGATTAAGGCGCTATGATGCTCCAGTTCTAGTAAAACAGACTGGATACTTTGTTTTGATGTGTACTTGCTAATATAAGTATAGTACTGCACATATTAGTTGTTTAACTTTAGATAAGTCTCTTAATCTCTTTAGACTCCAGTTTCCTCACCTATATAATAAAGAGAATATCGACTTTGCAAAATTGTTGTGAGAGTGAAAAGTAATGCATATAAAGTGCCTGTACAGAGCAAGTACTCAATAACTATTTGTTGAACTAAAAATAATACCAATATTCACCATTTATTAGCATCCCTATGTGCCAGACACCATAAACAATTAAAAGACATCATTCTGGTACCCAGAGTACCATAGGAGATAGACATGCAAAAAATAAAAATAAAAAAGATAATGGAGATATGCAGTGGGACCAAAAGGAAAGAAACACCTAAGTCAGCCTGGGGAAATCAGGAAGAAGTGGTAGAGGTGGTGATGCTTGAGCTATGAACTAAAGGTTGAGTAGTAGCTTGTCAGATAGTAAAGGGGAAAGGACAGTGCAGGGAAGGGCCATTGCAAGAAATTCGATGCAGAGGGATTATGATATTTCAGTATCACTGAGCCTTAAAATGTGGCCAGGCACACGCCTTTAATTCTAACACTTTGGGAGGCCAAGGTGGGTGGATCACTTGAGGTCAGGAGTTTGAAAACAGCCTGGCCAACATGGTGAAACCCTGTCTCTACTAAAAATACAGAAAGTTAGCCAGGCGTGGTGGCAGCTGCCTGTAATCCCAGCTACTTGGGAGGCTGAGGCAGGATAATCACTTGAACTCAGGAGGCGGAGGTTGCAGTGAGCCAGTATCACGCCACTGCACTCCAGCCTGGGTAACAGAATGAGACTTCATCTCAAAAAAAAAAAAAGGTGTGTGTGTAAAACAGCAGACAGTCTTTGTAGGAGATGATGTAAAGCAAGTAGTCAGGAGTTAGATCCTGAGTTACTTTTAGCCATCCCAAGGAGTTTTTATTTTATTCCATATAGATGCTAGCCCCTGCAGAATTTTGAACTGACATATATATGATATCATCAGGGTTTTTTGTTTGTTTTAGAAAGATTTTTCTGTCAGTCATAAATGAAACGGACTGGGGACATTCTGGCTGGAGGCAAAGAGATCAGTTTGAAAGCTATTGCGATATTTAAAGAGAAGATTGATAAATGCTTGAACCAGCACAGTGGCAGTTTAGATGGAGGGAGATGACTGCAATAAAATCATCAGGACTTGTTGATTGACATGATATAGGACGTGAGGAGCAGGGATGAGTCAAGGTTGATCCCCCTAGTTTCTGACTAAGGCAACTTGGTAGATGACAGTGCCATTCACAGAGACAGTGAATTC